CTCTCTCTCTTTCTTTCTTTCTTTCTTTCTTTCGTTTACTGAAAATATTAATTATGAATGAATTGTCAAATATTAATATCAAAACTGATTTGTTTTTAGTATATTTTTACAATTTTCAATGGAAAGACTACTCCATAGTATCGGATGAAGTGCTGTTAGATATGGTTAAAGTGCTTACATTCGCGCTCACAGAAGGAAAGGTATGTCTAATTCAAGCTTTCAATTTATAACTCGCGTAAAACTTTTCTAAAAATGTGCTAAAATGTTGAATATTGCGGTTAAACCCAACTCTGCCCATAGGTTGCCATTCACTGTCACGCAGGTCTGGGCCGTACGGGTGTCCTCATAGCCTCTTATCTGGTCTTTGCATTTCGGGCCAAACCTCATGACGCCATCCGTTATGTCCGCTCTAAGCGGTAATTAACGTAAAATATGCTTTTTATATAAAATTTTAATTAATGTAATATATTTTAGTCCCAATTCAATACAAACGAGAGGACAGATATTAAGTGTCTTACAATTTTCGCAATATGTGGTCCCATTTTTTGTCATTTACCAACACATGTATGTTATTTGAAAAACTAAATCAATATCTAATTTACATCCATATGTATTGCGTTTGGTTTATAATAAGTTTGTATTGTGTGATAATTATGGGGTTTATTATTGGAAACAAAATCAATATCTAATCCATAGTTTCATTCATGAATTAAAACTTTTATTTTATTTTTTCCTTCATTTGCGTTGAATTTGTTTTATTACTATTTATTTGTATATAATTTATTGATTTTGATTGTATTTTTCTTACTATAATATTGTATTTATTTCTTAACCACAGTATTCACAGACAAATGGGCCTTAATTTGGCTCAAATACTGCAGAGACAGAAACTGTTATTACATGGATATGAGTCAAGACATCTGAAATATGTACCAAAAGTAGGTTTCAATTTATATTTAATTTAGTTATACAGTATAAACTACAAGAATCTCATTTAATAAATTCAATTAAAAAATACCATAATGTATATTTAAAATATTTGGATTTGCATAAATGTAATTTTCCAGAATATATTCTGATGTCATTAAACAGTCGTTAAACTTATATAATATTCATCACATGAATACTATATTTAATTAAAACTTTTGAAAACCTATAATTAAGGCCAGCATTGAATTCTCAATAGTGGCCACGAGTTTTCAAAATATGCCTAAAATATACAATAATAGCATTAATTATTAGTTTATTATATACGCTATGATTTAGTAATGTATTTAATATTCATAATATACCGCTTGTATTGATAGAGAATAATAATTATAACAATTTAATGGTTTGGCGATAGATATGTAAATGAATTCAATTATTCATTAATGACTTATTGTATATATATATTTTTATCGATGATATTCTTGTGATTTGTATCATATTTTTGTGAATCAAACGAAAAGTATCTGAAATATACATTTTCCTATATCTATATATCACACAAAAAACAGATAATTTATATGATTTGCGAGCGATTACTAAAACTCTGCGGTCGACACAAAGCCTATTCGCCAGGCGTTAGGAGTGGTAATGGCGGCACAATTGGCCGCGAGATTGGCATTCATTATCAATTGGATAAATCGGAAAGTTTTTGCAAATATTTTTTCGCCGCTCTGACCGCCGACGGCGCCGAACGCGTCCGACACCGACACCATCACCGCCGACACCTTCGCGGCCAACAGAGACCCGACTCCAACAATACCGTTGAGCTCACCTCTGGTATCGTTAGTCCCAAAACCGATTTGACTGAATTAGAGGACTTCAGCTCATCGTCTTCGGCCGATAATACGCCCAAAACTGTGCGAAAAGCCGCGAAAATGAGCCATAGATTAGGCGACAGTAATGGCGCGACAGGTGTGGAGAAGGGATCGGATACAGCGCCGCCGCAAACGAGTCTTCCGCCGGTCGACGGCCACGATATGCACGCCATTAACGCACCGATGCATCAAATCAATGTCGTCGGCATCGAAACGCCGGTCAGACAACGGACGGACGGCAGCGGCGGAGGCAGTAGTGGACAATCGAGTAGTTCCGAGCCCTTCGAGTCCTCTCTGTCCGAAAGTCTCACTTCTCTGATCGAGAGTCTCGGCTATCGTGTGATTAAAATCGATTCCTCGCAAATGGTTTACGAACAGGACTTGCGGTTTATGGACAGCCGTCGGCAACAGTCGTCGGCCGACACTAATAACGATTCAATCGATTATCACATGAATGATAAGCTCATTGACGACGAGTTCTTCGGCCGCACTAAAGGTCACTCGGATTACTATAACGACGACCAGTTGTCGGACGACAGCGAGTCGATGGAGGACTCGTTGGACGCTCAGTGCAGCTCCGGATTTATATCAGCCAATTGTGGGAACAGCACTGGGAGTGAAGACTGCGATGAATTGGTGGACAGAAAGGATGTGGTGAAAGCACTTTTGGCCGATTATACCGCTTATGTCAAGCCTTTCAGCTATAATTTGCTTCAATATCAGGTATGCATTCAATTGCATTGTTTTCAAAAGTTTGGGTAAAAGTTTGCGCTAATTTGTTAAAAACCTATCTATAATTGATATTGTGTTTAATTTTATAATTATATCATAAGAGCTAACAAGACTTATAAAAAATATTATTTGAGATTTTTGGTTAAAATAATTATAAAATAACTATTGATTTATCAAACATATTGTGATCTCAAACCTAAAATTTGTGGAAATAATATATAATTTAATGAATTAGTAAAACGATACAAACGATTGCATTTTTGTGTCTCTGATTTTATGCCATTAATACTGTGTATGCTTTGAATAACAATTACTTAACACCCGTTAAATATGTGTTGCTATAAATACTTTGCACCACTTTATAGCTTAAATGCCAGACAATTATAATGTCTATTCTGTGACATAAAATGGACATTTAGTTCACAAACAATTGGGTTAAGGGTATGTTGTCTATGGTTTTATTGGTAGAGTTGGACATCAAAATAAATCAAACAAAACAAAAATAATGCATAACTTATTAGATGCAAAAGATTACAGAATATTCTGTATAACTTAGAATTTCATTTTTTGCCAATGAATTTTAACACCATTTTTATAGATTGAGACAATTTTAACACAATTTTTATAAATTAATAGTATACATGTTTAGTAAATTATATTAATATAAATTGTGATTTTTGTTTATAACTTTTAGAAAGATTTAAATACAAAGCCCTTGAGTTGGGAGAAGTTATGCCACGAGACAAATGTGCAAATTCTTAGTGCTCTTCTTTGGTCATGGATTGACTCATTGACAGAACCGATGCTCACGAAGACTGCTTTGTGTCACATCGTGGTAAAGGCTGAGGTGCCAGTGGACGCACTGCTTAAACTAGATCAGGTATTTGTTTAGCAAACTAATTAATATTATACAAAATATTCTACATAGATATAACCAGAAAAACATCCTACACTATTATTTCGATAGTTATGTTTAATGCTGGTTATATACAGAATATGATTTAACTTAAGAATTCTTAATGAGATTATTTACATGTTAAAATGTTTATTAAAAATTTAATTTCTATATCATATACAGTATAATCGATATACAGTGGAATATTTGCTAAGATTTATAGCAAGATTAGGCCCGGAATCGGACGATCGATCGGTTCTCTTAAGACATTTGATGTCCAGACTTACAAAACAACGGTTTAAGTTAGCGGACGGACAGTTGGTTCCCAATGGGGTTTGTGTTCAATGAATTAATTTGTGATAAAATGAAAATATTTAATCATTTGAATCGTCAATATATACAGAATGAGTGGCCAGAGATGCGAAAGGGAACGGCGGGCCGTATAATGCTGTTCATCGATGACTTATACCAAATGCTTAAATCCAATTGATTTCTTGCAACACAACAAACAAAATGCTTATATTTTTTCCTAACATTTATTATCAATCATTGATAGAAAACATTATTTTTTAGAGTAAATATTAGTCTTTATGAAAATATATCATTCAATACATTAACAAAACTTACCATTAGATTCATCCCATCGATAAACATACCATTGATGGTAAACATTGTTTTAAAATGACATTAATTTCTCAAATGAATGGTTGAAAATGTATTATAATTATGTAAAATATTTTATGCAAATACTATCGCAAACTATTGTCCATTAGATTAATAGAGAAAAATTGCTATTTTATACAAATTAGATATTTTATTAAACAAATAAACTGATAAATGAATTGAAAGAATAAAACCAATAAAAAGTTTATTTTCAAAACGATTTTTAATGATTTCATTAATTTTTACAAATAAAAAACTAAATGAAAAATTATATATTAATTACAACTAACGGGCAATTCCTCTACTTTGACGCCATTGTTAGTCTCATCAGCCGTAGACGTATTGTCTTCAGATTTTTGGGCATTTTCTATGAGAACATTGCGGTGAGCGCTCCAGAGGGCACTCCTCGGCGGTCGATCCGACTCAGTCTGATCCGAGTCGACGGCCGGCTCGGCGTCGGGTGCGTTCAAATCGTTGGCCTTTTGCTTCCGTTCGTCGTAAGTGTGAAAAACTAATGTCTGTAACCACACAAACATAGACTTCTCCGACTTCTCGGTGTTGGCGATCACCGGATAGATGTGCCGGTGTTTGAACGCGTCGATCGCGTCCTTCCGCTCGTCCCAAGCGATGGGTTCGTGGACACCATCGCCGCCGTACTTCTCGTTATACTTCTCGTAGTGAACCTCTTCGAGCAATAGTCCCAAACCGGGAGCTTTCGGTATGTCTATGCGTTTCGGTGCGAACGCCCGGATCATAGCGTCGGTGTTGGTTATGCCGCGCATCACAGCGATGGCCAAACCGATCATTTTGCGGATCTGATGCAACATAAATGACTGGCCGCGCACTCGCACCACAACAAACTCCAGGCCATTCATGAGGAACGGCGGCGAACAATCCATTGATACTATGTATCGGTAAGCGCTGGCGTCGGTCGGGGCTTTGCCTGACGTGAAGTTATGGTAATTATGTGAACCCAAGTATGTCTTCAGTATATCGTTAAACTGCTTCACGACATCGTCGGCGATACGATAGTCTTCGGTGGTCTTGACATCGAGCGGACACAAGGCGTACGACGGCATCAAATAGCTGTAGGTTCGGGCGTCGCAGTAGTTCTTGGCGTCAAAGTTTTTGGTCACCCGAACGCTGGCCATCAAACGGATCTCTTCGGGTAAGTGTTCGTTAATGGTGTCTAAATGTTGATCCAAATCGACGGGCAATTTAATGGACACAATCTGTTTGATAGCACTGACGCCTCTGTCAGTTCGGGCCGCCCTCTGGAACTGACACATGTGTTGGGCGTTGAGCTTCTCTTCGTCGATGAGACCGCTCTTAAACAGGGCGTCAAAGAGTCGGTACTCTATTGTGGGAAACTTGTCGTTACTGTAAATCAACACATGGTTAGCAAAAAGAGATAATCAACGGTAGGGATCAGATGTGGTGATCACACATACTCTGTCTGTCTCTGCATTCCGAAGTATTTTTGTCCACAATAGCTAAGAAGAAGAACCCATTTGTGTAACTTTATTCGTTTGAACGGTTCCTTGTTATCGACGGCAACGGCGGCCACCGTTTCGCCCGTCACTGCCGTATCGGTGGTGACCAGTGGTGTGACCGCCGATGACTCGGTTACGGTGTTTTCGGGTTCAGTCTTAAGTCGCTTGACAGCTGTGGGTCCGTTGTCTTCATCTGTTCCGGCGGTGACAACCGATTCGCTCAACGCGTTATCCATTGAATGGTTGCTTAAGAGACGAGTTGTTGTCTTATAATACAAATCGTAACTAAATTTGTGATTAAAACTAATTTTATTCAATAAATTCAATATTAATTTCATATGACTTTGATTTGTGTCCCAAATATCGCCACAGAATTGGGATTTGGATTACAAATGGCTTTTATATTGACTTTTATGTTATGATTGAAAACTTTATTAATTAGTGATTAAAAACTGGATTTAGTTTAAATTTAAATCACTTTTTAAATGTTACACATGTTTTATAACAACATCAATTAATATATACCGTTACATTGTATTTACGGGTAACTAATATACTAAATATGATGGACATTGTATTTGCATAACATTGGGGGCAACTATTAAGGGGACAATCATTGCAATAAATATAACGTTGTATTTGTATAAAAGTATAGCACAAGTCGTGCCGTCTATTGTGTAATATTGTGATACTTTTAGGTATTTATCAGACATTTGTTATAATATGCCATAATTTTGTTGCCGACAAATCGCACGTTTAGAATGGCCTCTAATGTAGTATTGATAGTGCATTAGTTACGCCCTTTTAGGCGAAGTAATCAATTCAGTGCTTGTATTGAAAAATAAGACAAAAAAATAAACAAATAATTAGTTTTGAATTCGTTTTTTAAAACACAAAATCAAAATCAATATTAAGTTAATTATAAACTGAATTAAAGCTCAATATTAACAGTGATTTCCAATATATTAAGCATTTGATTGACATTTGATTTGCCATTTAATTGATATATTTTTCACTCATTTTTATTGTGATATCCATTTGTTGACCACATTTTCCGCCACCGGATAACCCGTTGCCGCAGATTTGATCACCGGTTTGTCGCACCCGAAGTCATCGCCCATTGATCCACGTGTTTGGCCACTCGTCTTGTTGTTGTCGTGTGTATGGGATCTGATCTGACGATCGCAGCGCCGAAGTCTACGCCAAGACATCACATATAATGTTGAGCCAAATGAATGGTGATTTGGACCCTAATGTAAGTCACAATT